TAATAGCTCTGACCCTGAACACACAGATACCTATGGGATTAAAGGCGTGTGCCACCACCGCCACACTCTTGCTATGGCTCTAATAGCTCTGACCCCCAGACAACTTTATTTATTAACATACAATCAAATTAATATTTCAGTGTAAATCAGAATAATATTTCAATACAATTAGATTACCACCACACTATATGCATATAAAAAACCCCACAGTGCAAGAAAGAAAGATGTACCTGCCTTGGAGAGGTCAGTATTGTGGATTAAAATAGCAATTCATTTATTTATTTTGGTTTTTCAAGACAAGGTTTCTGTCCTGGAACTCTCTCTGTAGACCAGGCTGGCCTGGAACCCACAGAGATCCACCTGCTTCTGCCTCCCAAGTGCTGGGGCTAAAGGTGTGTGCCACTACCTCCTGGCTAAAATTACATTTAGATGGGAGAAGTAATCCTGACATGCAGAAAGAGAGAGAAGAATATTCTAAATTGAGAAGACACCATGAGAAAGCACAAAACATTTGGTAAAAACACCTGGTAGAATACAAAATGACAAAATGGGCTAGAGAGATGGCTCAGTGGTTAAGAGCACTGGCTGCTCTTCCAGAGGACCCATATGACAACTCACCACTGTCTGAATCTCCTGTTCCAGGGTATCTGACGCCCTCTTCTGGCCTCCATGGGCACCACACACATGTACAGACATACATGCAGGCAGAACACCCATTTACATTAATTCAGCCAAGATAGGGATGTCTACTATTTGGCAAACTTTGTTGTAGGCTTTGGAAATACAAGTTATAAAAATAATCCCTACCTTAACGGCTCTGGGATAGTGAGGCAGGAAAGGAACCAGTGGTCAGTCTGTTGGTGACTCTTGCTGGGGATGGGGGTCCGGGGGAGATGCAGCAAAGAAGGGACATAGGGGATGTGTTTCGGAGAAGGCAGTGGGCATAACATGGGCAGTCAGGGAACATTTGAGGAAAGAGCCAACTGTGGTGAGGGTATGAGCCATAGGCTACATAGGACCTCATATGCGTATGCTGATAGAGAGGGTGAAGGTGAGGGGGCTGATGAGCTGACATCCTAGAATGGGCAAGAGGTGGGGCTGCTGGCCTGAGATGGGAACAAACAGTTCACCTACAGCAACAGGAGGAAAAGAACAACCGTGGGCGCAGGTAAAGGGGCACTGGATGGGGAGCCACGTTAGAAGCTGCAATGTTTCCTACCATTTATTATGTCAGGCAGTCAGGCCCTTTCATCATGCTGGCCACTGGTAGCCCAGGAATCTGGGACAGAGCCAATAGCAACCTGCAGAACACAGGAGTTCCTTGTATTTATAGACTTTAGAGGGCAGGGCTCTCTCAGCTTAGCAGATCAATGACAGCACCAGATAGGATTTAAGGATATATGTAATTCAGGGAGTTAATCCTATTGTCCAACCCCACCACTGGGCTGCTTCATGCTAGGAGCTTAGCAGCTTAAGGAAGGTAGTAGATGGGATATAAAGTGTGGCTGATCCCTGGGGGGGAGGTGCCCCTCCCTGTGGCCTAACATTCCACGGAGCAGGGCTTGGTGAATTACACTATCAAGTTAATTCACATAAAGAAATGGAGGGGCAGAAGACAGTTCAGCGGTTAAGAATTGCAGAGGACAGTTCATACACACACACACACACACACACACACACACACACACACACACACACACACGGCCGGGCATAGTGGCACCTTTAATCCCAGCACTTGGAAGGCAGATGAGGCTGATTTCTGAATTCGAGGCTAGCCTGGTCAGCATAGTGAGCTCCAGGACAGCCAGGCTTTACAAAGTGAGTCTGTCTCAAATCAAACAATTGTGCTGGTTAGTTTTGTGTCAACTTGACACAAGCTCGAATCATCAGAGGAGGGAATCTCAAATGAGAAAATGCCTCCATAAGATTAAGCTGTAGGCAAGCCTGTAGGGCATATTCTTAACTAGTGACTCACGTGAGAGGACCCAACCCATTGTGGGTGGGAACGCGGCATGGTTGGTGGTTCTGGGTTCTGTAAGAAAGCAGGCTGAGCAAGCAAGCCATGGGCTAGTCAGTAAGTAGCACTCCTCCATGACCTCTACATCAGCTCCTGCTTCCAGGATCCTGCTGAGTTCCTATCCTAGCTTTGTTCAGTGACGAACAGCGATTTGGAAGCATAAGTCAAATAAACCCAACACCAAGATACCACTTGGATCTCATTTAACTTTCCCTATATGTAGTGATACATTGTGTACCCTAATAAACTTATTTGGGGATCAAAGGACAGCACCAGCCACTAGATTAGACATAGAGGTCAGGCAGTGGTGGCACACACCTTTAATCCTATCACTCCGGAGGCAGAGATCCATCTGGATCTCAGTGAAGTTCAAGGCCACACTGGAAACAGAGCCAGGCAGTGGTGGCACACATGCCTTTAATCCCAGGAAGTGATGTCTGGGCAGAGAAAGTACATAAGGCATGAGGAAACGGGAACTAAAGCAGTTCAGCTGAGACCCTTCAGTCAGAGGATTCGTGGAGTTGGTGAGATAAAAGGTGGTAGCAGTGGCTTGCTCTGCTTCTCTCATCAGCTTTCACCCTGACATCTGGCTCTGGGTCTTTTATTGTTAAGACTTTTTAAGATTTGAACAACACCTATGTTCAAAAGATGTCACCTGGATCTCCTTTAGCCATACTTCGCTTCCAGGTCCTTGGTTTTCCAAGTTGCTGTTGGGGCAGATGCCCAGGAGAGAGTCAGAATCCAGGCAACGGGGTCCCTGGAGGGGCCAGCAGGACACTAGTAGGGCAAAGGCCCAGTCGGGAGTGGGTGGGAGGATGCTGAGTGGCTAGAAAGAGCTCTCCATGAAGGAGTCCATGTTAGCTCACCTCTAAAGCATCAGGAGTTTGTTCACATCCTATGTTTTAAATGATGGAGATCCTTTCCAGCTTCAGTAGAGAAATACACTAAAACAGACTTGTAATCAGGTTCTTTAATGCTGGCTACTCACAACGGGGAAAGCTAGGATAGGAGATCCCCCATTTTGTATATTTTAAAGTGCTGTGGGATGGTCTGTATGCCAAAAGCTCTGATTGGTCAATAAATAAAACACTGATTGGCCAGTGGCCAGGCAGGAAGTATAGGCAGGACTAACAGAGAGAATTGAGAGAACAGGAAGGTGGGAGGAGACACTGCCAGCCACCGCCAGGACAAGCAGCATGTGAAAATGCCGGTAAGCCACAAGCCACATGGCAAGGTATAGATTTATGGAAATGGATTAATTTAAGCTATAAGGACAGTTAGCAAGAAGCCTGCCACAGCCATAGAGTTTGTAAGCAATATAAGTCTCTGTGTTTACTTGGTTGGGTCTGAGCAGCTGTGGGTGACAGAGATTTGTCTTGACTCTGGGCAAGGCAGGAAAACTCATTACATTTTAAAGGATACCTTTGCAAATAATGAACCAGGGGATAAAAGCTGTTACATAGCTAACACACAACCAATGTGTCTGAAAACATGTGCATAAGCTCAAGCAACATCTACCTGTATGTTCCAGGGAATTCTTTTTTTTTTTTCTTTTTTTTTTTTGAGATAGGGTCTTATACAGAGTCCTAGAATTCACTATATAGGCTAGGCTGGCCTTGAACTCACAAGAGATCCGCCTGCCTCTGCCTCTCTAGTGAATACCACCACGAAGCAGGGCTTAGTGAACCACTCTATCAAGTTAATTCACATAAGGAAATGAAGGGAGGGGGCAGGAGAGACTGTTCAGCAGTCAAGAACATTTGCAGAGGACAGTTCAGTTCCCAGCAGTAGGCTCAGAACCACCTGTAACTCCAGTGCCAAAGGATCTGCTTCCCTCTTTTGGCCTATGTTCCCCCAAATAAAAACGAGAGAGGAGAGGAGAGGAGAGGAGAGGAGGGGAGGGGAGGGGAGGGGA